GTGCGCCGAGTCACGCGCCGCGGCGCCAGCTCCCTCGATCCCTCGCCGCGCAGGGGCCCGCGGCGGCTGGAGCGGAGGACTCGCGGCGACACCTCTGCCGCTCGCCCTGGCCCGGCCGCCTCCGGGAGCCGTCGGACATGGAGCCCTGGAAGCAGTGCGCGCAGTGGCTCATCCACTGCAAGGTGCTGCCGGCCAACCACCGGGTCACTTGGGATTCGGCGCAGGTGTTTGACCTGGCACAGACCCTCCGCGATGGAGTCCTGCTCTGCCAGCTGCTCAACAACCTCAGGGCGCACTCCATCAACCTGAAGGAGATCAACCTGAGGCCCCAGATGTCCCAGGTAAGGAGACCCACCAGGGCGCCTGGTCCCCACCAGCGTCTCCGCCTCCAGCCCGCATCTCCCATTAATCATCCGGCTAATTTCTTTGTGTAAATGCAAACATCTAGGTGCGCTCCGGGGTCTCAGCCTCCCAGCTCACTGCTTAGGGATCCACTCCTTTGAAATGGTTTAGCGCTTTAGCTGAATGTTGAAGCTCCGCGTCCGGAGATGGTACGAGGTTTTCTGTGTGGCCAGGACAATAAGTTGCCCTAAGGTTGCATTTTACCTACTTTTTGTTTGTTTTTTCTAATAAGGTGTGTCTGGTTGGCAACAAAGGGCATTTAGTCCAATCCTTTTATGATAACGATGGTAAAGGACGGAGCGAGATGTTGGGCTGATTTTATTTTCGTTCTATTATATTGCTTTGAATGTTGTCTCCATGTTTTCACGAAAGAGGAACCACGATATAAATGAGGACTGTAGGAAGTGGAGGGCGTTCCGGGACCGTTATCTGTACAGGAATGACACGGGTCAGAAGGGAGGAAAAGGGAGCAGGACGCAGCGGCTGCCCTCCAAGTCCCCACTAAGATGTGGCCAGCTGGCAAGAGAGATGGTTGTGTTTACAGCTCTTCTGAAACCATGTGAGAAGAAGCGAGTTCAGCCTCTCTCAGCAGCGACAGGAAACGAGAAGTTGAGCTCGATTCCGCTTTCTCTCATTCAGTGCTCTGGGCTCAGGTGCTGTGTGGTGCACGTTTGGCCCCTGTAGCTGGGGCCTTGAGTGGGGATGAGACTTTGAGGGTTTGAGAGCAAGCTTTCAACGCTGGGGACCGCGTGCGCTCTCGACTCAGTTCAAAAGTCCCAATTAAATTGAATGGTTGGTTGGTGTCTTCGGAAAGTATTGTGCAGAAAAATGTTAAGCAGGATACTTTTCACAATGCGCAGACACACACACACACACACACACACACACACACACACACTCCACTTTAAACTTGAGAAATGAGAGTAAAAAGTACTGGTCATGACACACGTTAGGTCTACAACCTGCATGGTACATAACAGAGCCACAGCTACTTAACAACTGGAACAGTGCCTTTTATGAAGGCCTTGACTTTATATGATTGAATACATATTTAGGGTTACAGCTTCTCTGATGCTTGATGTCATTGTGTCACCAGATTGTCATTCAGCCTTTCACGTTGTAAGGGCATCTCTTGCCTCTCTGCCTTCAGCCTCAAGGTTGGCACTCCCAAGAGAAAGCAGATTCATAGGTAGTGAGAGCGGTGCATATTTAAAAGTCAGCTGAATGATTTTATAGTCTCTCATAAGCCTGAATATTGATTGCAAACTCTGTGGATCCCTTCAAAGTTGTCTGTTAACCCTGTGACGTTTTCATTACCTGAAGCACTGCTGTCCTGAATAGAGTTCAGTCTGGAACTACAGGGATTATTTGGCCCACAGGTCTCCAGAAGGCAGGGTAGGCCATGTCTCACCCCATCAGCTCAGAGTACAGCGATGTGTGACTGTCACCCCATCGGCTCAAGAGTACAGCAAAGCGGGGAGGAAGGGGTGGACAGGGAAAAAGTGCAACAATGAATAAATGGAAATCTAAAGTCTTTGTAAACTTTCATTATAATAATGATGATGATGATAATAATAATAATAAATAATAATAATAATAATAATAGAGTTCAGCAATGTGTGACGGTTCGGAAACCAACTTCTAGGGACTCTGAGGAAACAAGCTGTTTTAATAACCAACTTTTCCAGAAGACTAAAGTTGCCCCCTTTGAACTTTCAGATTTTTATTTGAATGTTAACGTGGATGAAAATATTTTCAAAAGTGTTCTGCTCGTTCATCCCCTCTTAGAGTATACAATTGAACTCATTGCTGTTGATCAGGAATCAATTCCTAGCTCACTCTCCAGCAGGTCTCCAGAGGCTGTAAATTTCATGAGATGATATGGAGGGAGAGCACAGGAGAGAAAGACCTTGGATGAGATGGATTGATATGATAACTGGGGCAATGGGATTAGATGTGTCAGAGTCAGTGAGACTGTTGTTCAGAGCTGTTGTACATAGGGTCACTACGAGTTGCCATTGACGACACAAAACAGCATGTTGTTGTTGTTATGTGCCATCAAGTCTCTTGTGACTCATAGCAACCCTATGTACAAGAGCCCTAAACACCATTCTATCCTGTGCCACTCTCGCTGTCTCAAATACACTCATTCCCACCACTCCAATCACAGAATCACTCCATCTCATCGAAGGTCTTCCTCTCCTGTGCCGTCCCTCTCTAAGGGCCAGTCCCTCCTTGCAGCATGCCCAAATGATGTCAGACGAAGCTTCAGAATCCTTGACTCCAAGGAGCATTCTTCACCCTCTCCAAGACAAAACTGTTTGTTCTTCTAGCAGTCCATGGTATATTCAACACTCTTCTCCAGTACCACGGCTCAAAGGCTCTTTCTATCATCCCTATTCACTGTCCAACTCTCCGATGTGTAGCCCGTAATTGCAAAGACTATAACCTGGATCAGGCGCACCTTAGTCTCCAGCCTGATGTCTTTGCTTTTCAGTACTCTTGAGAGGTCCCTCACTGCTGATTTTCCCAATACAATGCATCTCCTGATTTCCTGGCTGCTGTTACCAAGAGTGTTGACAGTGGAACCAAGTAAACGAAAACTGTTAACTATCTCAATCTCTTCACCATCCATACTGATGCTGCCAATTGCCCCAGTGGTCAGAATCTTTGTTTTCTTGATGTTGAACTTCGGTCCATATTGAAGACTGCAGTCCTTGACTTCCTGCAGCAAGCGTTTCAGGTCCTCCTCAGTTTCAGCAAGCAGGGTTGTGTGACCTGCATAATGCAGATTGTTGATGATTCTTCCACCAGTCCTGATGCCACATTCCTCCTCGTACAGCCCAGCGTCTTGGATGTTCTGTTCTGCATACAGATTGAAAAGGTATGGAGACAAAATACATCCCTGCCGGACCCCCTTCTTGACTTTGAACCATCCAGTGTCTCCCTGCTCTGTTCTGACGACTGCTTCTTGGTCCAAGTATAGGTTTCGCATTAGCACAATCAAATGTTTGGGATTCCCATTCTTCTCAGAGTCAGCCATAGCTTGTTGTGATCCACACAGTCAAAAGCCTTTGCATAGTCAATGAAGCACAGATAGACATTCTTCTGGTATTCTCTGCTTTCTGCCAAGATCTATCTAACATTAGCTATAATATCCCTAGTACCATGACCTCTTCTAAATCCAGCCTGCACATCTGGCAGTTCTCTGTTGACATATTGTTCCAGACATTTTTGGATAATTTTTAGTAGAATCTTGCTTGCATGTGATATCAACGATATTGTTCAATAATTTCCACACTCTGTTGGGTCACCGTTCTTTTGAATGGGAACAAATATTGATCTCTTCCAGTCAGTTGGCCAGCTCACTGTCCTCCAGATTTCCTGGTACAACTTAGTGAGCACATCCAGGGCAGCGTCTGTTTGTTGTAATAAATCAATTCTGCCTTATTTTTTGCCAATTCCTTGAGAGCAGCTTGAACTTACTCCTTCATCACCATAGGCTCTTGCTCATATGTTATTTTGTGAAATTCCTCTCTGTCAGCCAATGCCTTCTGATACGTGACTCTGTGTACTCTTTCTGTCTTCTTTTGATACTTCCTGGATCATTTAACATTCTACTCAAACTATCTTTAAGTACTGCTACCCGTGGCTTGAATTTGTTTCTCAACTCCTTCAGCTTAAGAAACGCTGAGTGAGTTCGGCCCTTTTGATTTTTTGACTCCAGCTCTCTCTGCACATTTCATTATAGTATCTTGCTTTGTCGTCCCGAACTGCCTTTTGAAATTTTTTGTCAGCTCTTTGATTTCTTCCTTTAGCTTTGGCTTCTCAGCGCTCTAATGCAATACTCAGAGTCTCATCTGACATCCACCTTGGTCTTTTCTTCTTCTTCAGCCTTTGTAATGATCTTTTGCATTCTTCATGGACGATTTTCTTGAGCTCATTTGGTCTACCCTCATTGGTGTTCAAGGCCTCAAACCTGTTCCTGAAATGCTTTTGAATTTCGAGTGGGACAAACTTAAAGTAAAATCTTGGTTCCCATGGACTTGATTTAATTTTCCTCAACTTCAGCTTGAACTTGCATATGAGTAGTTAGTGGTCTGTCCCACAATCAGCACCAGGCCTGGTTTTCACTGCTGATAATTGAGCTTCTCCAGTGAGTCTTTCCACAAATGTAATTGATTTGATTCCTATGTGTACCATCAGGTGAGATCTATGTGTATAGTGTTTATATTTCTTATAAAAAGTATTTGCAGTGAATAAATTATTGAATGTGCAGAACTCTATCATTCTATCTCCAGCCTCATTTCTCTTACTGAGCCTGTATTTTCCAGCTACTGATCCTTCTTCCTTGTTCCCAGCTTTTGCGTTTCAGTTGCTCATTGTTATTAATACATTTTGATTGCATGTTTGATCAATTTCTGACTGCAAAAGTTGGTAGAAATCTACTATTTCCTCCTCTGGCTTTAGTTGTTGGTACATATATTTGAATGACAGTGGTATTCACTGGAATTCCTTGTATGCATGTGGATATTATCCTGTGGCTCACCACATTGTATTTCAGGATGGGTCTAGAAATGACATTTTTAATTATGAAACTAACTCCATTTTTTCCTCACCTTTTCATCCCCGGCATAGTAAATCATATGATCATCAGATTCAAAATGTCCCATGCCAAGCCATCTCATTTTGCCAATACCTAGTATGTCAATTTTTATGCATTCCATTTCTTTCTTAACAATGTCCAATTTTCCTACATGTATGCTTCTCACGTTCCATGTTCCAATCACTAGTGTCTCCTTACAGCTGTTTCTCTTTCCATTTCTAAGATCTCAGTTTCAAGTGACATGTTTGTTAGTCCAAATGATAGTCTTAAGTGTGCTCTATTGTACATAGGGTTTTCGAAGGCCTGTGATTTTGGAAGTGGATGGCCAATCCT